AATAATTTCATCCGCTCCATACATCTCCCAAACAAGATGTTGAAATAGCGAATTCCTCAGTATTATATCGTTCTATTGCAGGTTATTGCAGACTTTTAGGCCGAATTCTCTGTTACTTAGAAGTTCGCAAGGATTTATTGCCTAGCCTAGCCTCGGACACAATGCCAGACGGGTCACACGTACACCTACAGCACGTTACTTCATTTTCAGAATTTGTCCCTTTTTCTCGCACTGTAAGCTTGGCTACATTTTATTAGCCGTGGACATCACACATTTACGAACCTAAGTATGCTAGACAATTCCTTCTGGGTGTCCTTTTCGTGTGTTTTATTAAAAAAACACGAAAATGTGAGTAAATGTTTCTGTCAAGCAATGCGCTACTGCCCGGTTAAAAAAAAACGGCCAGTTTTAGCAAATACCGGTCCTGTACTAAAACAATAATTACATCCGCTCCATACATCTCCCAAACAAGATGTTGAAATAGCGAATTCCTCAATATTATGTCATTCTATTGCAGGTTATTGCAGACCTTTAGGCCGAATTCTCTGTTGCTTAGAAGTTCGCAAGGATTTCTTGCCTAGCCTAGCCTCGGACACAAATGATGGAAACCCGGCCAGTTTTAGCAAATACCCGAGCGGTACTGTACTAAAACAATAATCTTATCCGTTCCATACATCTCCCAAACAAGATTTTAAAATAGCAAATTCCTCAATATTATGTCATTCTATTGCAGGTTATTGCAGACTTTTAGGCCGAATTCTCTGTTACTTAGAAGTTCGCAAGGATTTCTTGCCTAGCCTAGCCTCGGCCAGTTTTTGCAAATACCGGTCCTGTACTAAAACAATAATTTCATCCGCTCCATACATCTCCCAAACAGGATTTTAAAATAGCGAATTCCTCAATATTATATCGTTCTATTGCAGGTTATTGCAGACTTTTAGGGCGGATCCTCTGTTACTTAGAAGTTCGCAAGGATTCTTGCCTAGCCTAGCCTCGGACACAAATGCTGGAAAACCCGGCCAGTTTTAGCAAATACCC